ATGCAGAGCCGCCCCCCCGCCGACATCGCCCCCTCCAAGCCTCACCGCGGGCGAGAGAGGTCGCCTCTCTCTCGGTGAATCCAGGGGAGAGCAGCCACGACCCCCCTCGGCTCCCCCCGCCCCCCGCGAGAGCTGACATCTGAAGGTCAAAAAAGGCCCCGGAAAGAGACTGAAAGTCGGGGAGGGGATTCAGAGGGCAAAGTCTCATAGGCTTTGCTTTATGACACTTGAGAGGGCCAGACTTGGCTTTCGAGCTGTCAGGGCTGAAAGACAAAAGCAGAAAAGTGGAATCCTGCAGCAGGAAGTCCATTGCAGTTTCCCCTTTCACCAGCGCATGCACAAAGCATCCGCAGTGTAACAGGGAGATACACAGATATATATGTATTTAGAAAAGGTCCCCTCGAATCTAAAACCTTTTTTCATTCACTTTTCTGATTCTTGGCTCTCTTTTTCCTCCCCTTTCTTGCTCTCATTTTTAACATAATGCTTGCTGCATTGCTTGTAATTTCTCTCCGTGAAGCTTACGGTGGCACCTTATCATTTTTGAGGGGTACCTTGTGGTGTCTAGCTAGCCTCTTAACTAGTTAATTGCAGGGAGAATTCATTGCTGTTGCTGTAAGAAACAAATCTCTGGTGCCTAAAAAGCAGTGCTGAGGGGTTAGATTTTACCTCTGCATTCCTTCCTCCAGTAGGTAATGAAAATATGTCTATTTAGAAGGCAGCAAAATTCAAGAGGGAGAACCATATGCACAAATTACCTTCTTGTCTTTAACCTTGCATAGAAAATGATAATTGTAATGCTGCCTTATCTCTTCACTGTGTGCAGTTTGAAAAGTCTGAGGGACAGGGTTAAACTTTGCAAACCACATGGAACACTGTATCGCAATTGGCTCATTAATATGGTGTTGTCATAGGACTGCAGCACTGCAGTCACTGGAGAAAGGAAATCAGAACTGTTCAAGGTATCTGCTGAATTGCATTTGCAAACAGTTTGCTACGGTCTGTTAGATCAGTTTAAAGTGTTTGGAGATGTATCTGACAAACATAGAAAGAAGGTTTTAGTATAACAAGCAATCAAGAATTCTGAATGCATCCCATTAATTTTGTTCAGAGTTTCTCCATAGGTGAAAAACAGACCATTGGACTAAGTAGGTAGTCAGGACTGGTTAAAAATACTGGTTACATTGGTACTGCATTTTACTTACTTTCAGAGGGAAAAAAGCTGTGTTATAATTCCCTTGGCTGATATTCTCTTCCTTTGATTACATT